ACACACACACACACAAAGAGGAAGAGAAGAAAATTACTTGTCTATGTAGTTCATTTATTGAAATCTTTACATTATTATTTGTTGTATTATTTATTAGAATATTATTGTAGAATAATTAAAATACGTAATTATATATTTTACTAATCATAAAACATCTTTTAGGCATTAACTATCATCACCATCCACTCATTTATTATCACCAATTCAATAAAATTCATCCTTATCATCAATTGCCGTGCCATCATTACATCACCGTTCCCACCAACAATATCATCATCATCCTCATCATTATCTTCGATATCATTCTTCTTTCGAAGCAATTGTTCGAAAAGCCCAGCAACCTGATGAAAATTTCCAGCCAATCAGCGTCCAGCTCCTCTGAGACTCCTCCCACAAAAACAAACTCGCGACTGTTATAGGAACATATGGCTGCGTCCTATTTTTACCTAATCAGTTTGATATTCATTTATTTGTTTGTTGCATTTGCATGGCGTGCCTTCCGTGCAATTTACTGCAAAATATTTCTAATTGATTGATCCAATTAGAGCCAGATGCTTCTTTATTATCATTACCGTCATTATTGTTTTAATTATTATTTATATTATTATTATTATTCTTATTGTTATTATTATGTTTTTTTTTTGTTTCTGAATAAGATATAAATTTAATTTATTATATTATTACCTTTCGTATGCCGTTATTGAATATGAAATCTTGTTAAAAAAAACACTGTCTAAATCAATAAAAAAGAGACAAATAATAATAATAATAATTATTATTATTATATAATACATATATCACAATTAATAATAATAATGTTAGTTTTTATTCATTTTTTAAACACCTACTCCATCTGTCGATCCTTCATTTATCCACTCATTCATTCATTCTTGCATGCATGCAGTCTTCGTATTATTCGCAGTTCGTCTGAAGGACGGCTGTTTCCAATAACCTCCATCACCACCACCATCATCATCTTCATCATAATCATCGTCGTCGTCATCATCATCATCATCATAATCATCGCCGTTTTCATAATCATGGTCGTCATCATATTCATCGTCGTCATCATAATCATCATCGTGTCGTCATCCTCCTCCTCATCATCATTGTCGTCGTCATTATAGTCATCATCGTCATCATCATCGTCATCATCATCTTTCTCATTATCCTAATTTTCATCGTCATCATCACATCATCATCGTCATTATCATCATTGATGATGATATGTGATAGCAATGGTAATGTGTGCAAATAAGCCGATAGAAAAAAATTAAAAATGTGAAATAAGAGAGAACAAAAAGAAAGAGAAAAATAGGGAGAGAGAGAGAGAAGGAAAAAGAAAGACAGGGAAAATAGTGAGAGAGTAATAAAGGATTGAAATGTTATTAGAAGGTAAACTTTAAAATTGAAACTTTCCTGGAAGTGACACTAATTGCTTCATTTTGTCGGCTGTGGTTAATTTATTTTCGTCATCAATTTCTTCATCTCCGTCATCACATCATCATCTCTCGTTAGTTTTATTACAATTGAATATATAGTATCATCAGTTTAATGATGAGATAGTGATGATGAATTTGTCTAATCATTTAGTGATGCAGACTCTAAGTATAATTCAGCAATTAACTATGTGGCAAGTGTAAGGTTGATATTGCACGGCAAAGGTCCAGTATTGATTCAAAATTTCAAAGTTTTTGCTAAATGCTTTTAAAATTCATTTCTTTTCAACAGCTTTTCAACGTGATTTACATAAATTAGAAAAACAAAAATAAAAATTGGTCAGTATTTATTGTAATGATTTTGTTGCTGAAATGTTTATGTAATCAGGGTCATAGTAATGTTGTTGTTATTGATGTCATTGTTGTTTGTAATGTTTCTCTCATTGTGGACAACCCCTTAATTTGTTCACGTCACAACTTCGGCGTGTCAGTATGTATGTATGTATGTATGTATGTATGTATGTATGTATGTATGTATGTATGTATGTATGTATGTATGTATGTATGCCCACTAACATAGTATATATATTGTTATGTAATGTATGTATGCATGTATGTATGCATGTATGTATGTGTGTATGTATGTATGCATGCATGTATATGCATGCATGTATGTGTGTATGTATGTATGTATGTATGCATGCATGCATGCATGCATACATGTACGTATGTATGTAGGTATGTATGTTTGTATGTATTGATAACTGCAGAAAGAACATTAAAACTTTGTAGTTGGAACTTGCACCGATCGGTCAAAAGCCTTCGACCGCATTGACCATAGCATTTTGATGGGAAAGTTTAAATATTGTGAAATTTGTGGAACACCTCTAAGATGGATCGGTAGTTACTTGACTGACAGGAAACAGTTTGTTAGATGGCAGAATAAAATTTTGACGATACAATCCAGTAACTTTGGAGTTGCTCATGGAAGCATATTGGGTCCATTAATGTTCGTGATTTTTATAAACGATCTTTCCAAAGATTCAAATTTTTTGATTTTTTTTGTTATGCCGATGGCACTGACATTTTTTAGCAAAGGTGAAAACATCCATGAACTTTTAAATGATCGCAAATACAGATCAAAATTAAAAAAAAACAAATAAATTATTATTTACAATTTTTTTTTGTCAACTAACAAAATAAATCAAATTAATATATTTTTTCCGCAAGTATCAATTATATATAATATGTACATATAAATATATATACTTATAGCAAACTATAATATATATATATATATATATATATATATATATATATATATATAGCAATATTCTCTTTAAAATGGAAATTTTTTTATGTCCCTTGAAATTTTACATATAAAACTTTCTATGAAACAAAAACAACTTCTCTGTAACGAACAAAATTTATTCATAACGATAACGAACAACAATTTCCATAAATTTTTGCACATTCCACCTCAATTAATTTCAATGGAATCGAAACAATCGTTGCGTGGAACAAAGAATAAATTTCCCTTTCAGAGTTTTATTTTTTACAATTGCATCCTACATTATTACTTTTTGTTATCAATAATTAATGACTAGAAGATTGTTTATCATAAATATTTAGCATATAAACAAACACCTTTTTGGCAACGTAGAATTTTTTCCCGAACAAATTCAATATAACGAAATTATTATATAACGAGTTTTTTTCCTGGTACCATAAAATTCGCTATACGGAGGTCCAACTGTAATTCAAAACATCTTCACGTCTTCTTCATTACTAATCACAAATTTCACTGATTGAAATTTAATACCAACAGTGAAAAATCTGACAGTGCTGAATCTATGAAGAATAAAGCGAGAATTAAATCTTTTCCAAAACTCTTCTAAACTAAAAGCGATGATGTTTTCATCCAAAATACCTTCACAAACATATACATAAAACTCTTAAATAAAAACACAGGTAGAAAAACTTTTCTAAAAATTTAAAAAATGTAATAATTGCGATTGACAGTTTTAGATTTACCAAGCCAGGGCAACCTCCTTCTCCCAACAAGAAAACTTTGCATTATTTCTGCATTAAAAACCTTTTGGAGCCCGCCCAAAAGTCAGATAGATTCTCCACATGGCAATAACTGAATTACGGAATAAAATATTTCAATACATTGCTCTCTTATATTTGTGCAAATATAAGCATATGTTTTTATTGATAAACGTACATGCTATATAAATGCAAACGTGTGTGTGTGTTTATATATATATATATATATATATATATATATATATATATAATTATATAATTAATAATTATTTCCAATGTTTTACAAAAGTATCTGCGTAGTAAAATTCGACAAGTATTTTATGGACGTTGCACACACGCACACAAACAAATACACACACACACGCACCACACACACGCACCACACACTCGCACATAAATGGCATCATTTAATAATCATCGTTTCAGCATGCATGCATATTCCATATATAAGAATAAATAAACATATATATATATATATATATATATATACATATACATAGGCTCGATATATATATATATATATATATATAGGATATATACTTATATATATACATATAAGTATATATATTTATAATAACCGAAATTCACATAAGCCTACCGTTCAAACCTACATATTTTAAAAATGTATTGCTTACAATAATATGTATGATATAATGATAATAATGATAAAGAAAAATTAATTCCATAAGGTCTTCAATAAATATATACATACATATATCTATATGCATAGGTATATATAAATACATATTTAGAAACATAACTATATATACATATATACGTTAATAAAAAGTGGAAATGTTAATGAAGAAATGTTTAATAGTGAATTTAATAATAGATGGAAGTTGGATGCAGTTGTTGTTAGTTGAGTGTTAACTGTTGTTATCGTGTTGTTGTTGTTGTTGTCACAGTGTTGCCAGCTTTGTGCAATATAATTAATGGACTTTGAGATCCAAATTTGTGAGATTAAAAAATTATTTATTCATAAGTTTATTTATCTTTTATTTTTATTTATTTTATGCCCTAGCAAAAATTTGTTAAAAGATACACTCGTTCTAACTTCAGCGCTGCTACGATTTTTTAATGTTCAAAGTTTACAGATAATTTCTTCAACATGTAATTTTTTTGGGAGTTTTATAATAGAAGAGTCACATTTTATGATTTTATTGCAGAACCATCTTAGTGAAGATTTTGTTTTTAGCTAACTAAAAAAGGCAGGTTAACATCAGGTTGAAAATATTTCAAACTGATGATCATCTGGTCGTTTGCAAGTTAACAACTTTTCAACACAGGAATTTCTCTAACTTACATCGTAACATCGAATGATATGATATGTTAGCCACAGGAACAACTATTATTCTCAATATTTTATTTTATGCGTATTCTAATAACGGTAGCAACAACTACACCAACATCCAGAACATCATCAACAACTACATTAGTCATCTAATTGATTACTTGATAACGAAAAAATAACAATAAAATAGTAAGTAAAAAGTTACAAAGATAAACATTATGGCTCTACCATGGCCACTTTGGTATTTGGAGGCTTGCAAAGCTCTCTCATACCCCCACAGTAACAACAACAACAATAATAATAATCAGAATAACAGCAAAAACAAGTTAAACAGCAACAACACTGCATCAATTCAGCAACAACAACAATTGTTGGCTTTTGAAATGATGCAAAGAATGGCGTACCAACAACAAATACAACAACATCAACAGCAGCAAAAGCAGCATCAACAACAACATGTTAATGATAACAGCAGAAACGACAACAAAAATATTTTCAATGGTAACGATGACGTCAGCAAACGAAGTAAAAGTAAAAAGACCAAAAACCTCTCCAGCACAGACGAGAATATTGATAACGGGGATGATGATGATAACAGCAGTGTTAGTAATGATGATGATGATGAAGATGGTAATGATGATGATGAAAGGATGAATACAGCAGCTGATGTCGACCAAAGTGATGATAAAAAATCAAACCATAGCGTTGAGTCTGCCTGTAACAAGAACAACAATAACAACATTAATAACAACTTCATTGAAAACAACAATAGATACAACAACAGTGGTTATCTTAAAAATGATCACTCACCTCTAACTAACAACCACAACAACAACCACAACAACAAATACGAAGATGACCAACACTGCAACGAAAATTACCGCTACAACAATGACGACAGCAGGTCTTTTAAAACGTCATCGGCAAACTACTTCAATTTCAAAAACAACAGTAGCAATAGCATCGACAGCAACAACAACAGTACAAACATTCACAACCACAACACTGATGCCACCAGTAAATCGAAATCAGCATCTAAAAAGAAAGAGGAGAGCGACAATAACAACAAAAACAACAACAACCAAACAAACAATAACAACAAACGCCGTAAACAACCCCGCAAAGCTCTGCTGACAACTCAGCAGCGTAGACATGACGTCATCAACGGTTACCATGACAACAACGACAAAGAAACATACAAAATCAATTCATTAAAACTTAACAAACAAATTCGACCGAGTGGTCCAACAGATGACAAGCCACAGGATACGGAAACAGCGGGAGATGAAAGGAGGATACAACAATGCAAGCAGCTGGGATTGCTGGCTCACCATGGAATTGTCACCTCCCTCTACAAGCCACAAGATGGCTGCCACTTCCAGTTCAATGCATCGGATGATGGAGCTGATGGAGAACGTAGTGTTTCGATGGAGCATGATCGTTAGTGCTTTATTGGTGTTGTCGTGTATGGTATGTGTGTGTGTGTGTGGTGTGTGTGTATGCGTGTGGAAGCGTGTGTGGAGTGTGTTTACACAATGTAGTGAAACCTAGTAAAGTGATGAACTTGTAATTAAAAAACTTGACTTGAAAATCAGGCTCATCATCTCATCATCTCTCGTCATTTTTTTATTTTTTAAATTGTAAGAACATCACACATCTATGATAAAGGATACATTTAAATGCAATTTGTATAAACTTACTACAGAATAGAAATTATTATTTTACGTGGAATGAACCTTTGCTGTCACACAATGAAAAATTTGTGTATGTGTATGATTTATGGAAATTATTCTACGTACGAGTGATGTTTCAATAAACTTTTTTTTTGTAAAACTTCGTCAAAAATTTCTTTGAGTTCTCTAGCTTACTCTCCTTCTTTCTTCTATTTTTTCTATGTGTCTCTTTATTGTTATCTTTCTCGCTCTTTCTCATTTTCTTTTCCTCTTTCTCTCTCTCTTTCTCTTTCTCTCCCTCTCTTTTTCTCTCTCTCTCTTTCTATATATATTATATATATATATATATAAACAACTTTATATATATATTTATATATATAATGTATCTGTTTTCCCCAACTAATTGTTTAACGTTTTGCAAAATGGAATGAACTGAATTAAAATATTTGCACGAAGGCGTCAACACACCCAACTCCTTATCATCGAGCACCGACAACAACGAGGATGCTGGTGGTGACGATTTCAACAACATCAAGACTGCTGCTGCTGTTGCTGATGATGATGACGATGACGACGACGATGATGGTAGGGATGGTTCTCGAAGGAATGTCCAAAATATAAAGAATCGTTCCACTGATGATGATGATGATGATGACAACCAAGATGATGATGAGGAGGAGGAGGAGGACAAAAAGAAGAAGAACGATAATGATGATGATGATGCAGAAACTGACGATAATAACGGATGTGATGACGAGAATGATGATGACGACATGATGGATGAAGAAAGTAGAGCTTTGTATGGATTGCTCAGGAATCCTGCATTCAACCCTTGGGGATATGCTGATGGATTGAGTGAGTTGTTTATTAAATAAATGAATGATACTTGTATATATCATCAACTGATCAATTACAATTTCATGCTGAATCGCTATTTTTTAAGTGTTTAATGGTTCATTATTGCTTAGTCAAAAACACAACAAACAGACTGCAACATGTAGTCGCGCAAAATAGCACAACCAATATCTGTCAACATATGAAACGTTGGAATCTGTTCGCTTTCGAATCAGGTCACTGCGGCATTGAAACCGACGATCCAACCATTCAGTTGCTAGGCTTAGATCAATAATAAACAGAGGAATATATAATAATAGTGAACTAATCTAATGAATGATTAAAAATAGCTTGTGCAGAATTTTTTTTTGATGGATGAACAAGTATTTCTTCAGAATGCAAAAAAAATAACAAATAAAAAGCAACTGAGAAATAGGGCACAGAAAATTATTTCAATCTAAAAATCTTTCAATCTTCCATTATAATCAAGTGTTATCATTTATTAAAATATTTTTTTGAATGTGTGAGAAAAAAATCTATTTTTCCATATGCAATATTTATTTACTGAGCATCAAATATTACAATGACTTCAATCTATATAAAAACAATTTGATGTTAACCGCTGTAAACTTAACGGCTGATGATGTTGACTACACAAGCTACAGACGACGCAGCGTCTCCGAGCCACAACAACGTCATGAACAACAACAGCAACCAACATCACCATCGCCAGCAGCAGCAGCAGCATCTTCAGCACAACCTCACGTTGATGGACCACAGGTTTATGCCCTCACCACCCCTCTCACCGAACTCACAACAACAACAACAACATCAGCAACAACAGTGGACTTTTGAAGAACAGTTTAAACAGGTCAGACACACACAGACAAACAAACATACAAACATAGATACATACTTACTTATATACAAAAAACAAACAATCAAACACACATTTATTTTCCTTTATATAGGATTTTGTGGTTGTATGTAATGTTGGAATGGATTGAACATTATTTGAGGTTTGCATGTCTGTATGTTTGTTTCTTTCATATTTGTATGAATGTCTGTATAAGCATGTTTGCATGAATGTTTGTATGTATGTATGTTTGCATAAATGTATGTTTGTTTGGATGGATACTTGTTTGTATGATTTTATGTTTGCATAAATGTTTGTTTGTGTAGTTTTGCATTTTTAGTACAATGTTTACTTTGAATTTTTTTCCTCAATAAGTTTTCAAATTTTATTTTAAATTTGTTTCTTTTTATGTCACATAAATATCCTGATCACTAACTAAATCTATAGGAACATTTATTTGTTCATTTTTTTAAACAATTATTTGTTTTTATTTTTTTAATTAGTTGTTTGTTGGTTGGTTGGTTCGTTCGTTGGTTCGTTCGTTCGTTCTTACACTAATTTCAACTTTTTAAGAGGGAAAATTTCAAGCCGCAACTTAAGGTGAGTTTTACTTTGACAAAGGCATACAAAAATAGATGCTGAAAATAATTTTAAAATATGAAACATTTGAAAGACGCAGATTTACATTTTTCGAAATTTGAAATGTTGTGATGAAATGAAAACAATTAGGATGACAGTTGAAGCTCTCTGATGATGCAATAAATGTCTTTTTAATGGTTGAAATAATAACACTAAAAACAAAAAATAAGAATAAGTACAAGTTATAATATAACAACGTTATCCTAATTAGTTATCTTGTTACTTCATTGTGATTGTTGTATAACATCTTTAACCAGTTTTAACATACTTATTAGTTCATAGCAGTTTATAACATTTTGATATGTAATTATATGCTTGTTTAATTATTATTTATGATTATTTTCATATCAGTAACTGCGGAAATAAACATTTCCATATATGGCGGCATTTATAAACAAAACCACATCTCAACGGTACACAGTGGAAAAGTTTGCAATCTTGCAAACATACCTCAAAATATGACGGAATTCATTGAGGTTCATATGAAAGCTCAACTACTTACCGTATATAAATCTTGATAATATTACAATGTTTGTTCTTCCTATTGAAGAACTTGCGACACAAACGAACAGTTCACTTTGCACTGTCAAATAATTTTATTATAACATTGAAGCACTTAATTTAGGATGTAACGTAATTACTTCAAACCATACTTTCAGCTTGTTCAATCTATATTGTATATGCTTTTATTCATTATTCAACTTAATTCATAAATAACTTTTGAGAAAAATTTAATTTTAAACTCTTCTTAAAGTCAACGAGACATTGAAATGATTAATGAATACATAAAAGAAGTGTAACAGATTGAATACATTGCCATCAATCAGTCCTAATGAAACCAGCATTTTGCGGAGGTACTTCTACTTACGTAACGCGTTTGACACTTTGTTCAACCAGCCAAAAAAACAAATTTAGTAAAACTAGTTTAGGTTCGTTGATTGATAAACTCATAAAAATTGAAACAGGCAGAAAGACAGATGATGGATGGATGGATGGATGAATGGATGGATGGATGGATGGATGGATAGATGGATGGATGGATGGATGGATGGATGGATGGATGGATGGTTAATGGTTGGATGGGTGGGTGGATGGATGGATAGATAGATAGATGAACTTTTTATTCATCTACTACAAAATTAATAACCATTCGTATGGACCTCAAATAAGATTTGAGGATTGCGTTTCCAAGTATGGCTACATTGTCATGCACCGAATGTCAGAAGTGTTAAAAATTTTCAGAATTTTCAGTCATATTTTGAATCAGCATTAACGGTAACTAGTGTGGGAGCCTGGCTGCCGTTGGTGGAGAAGAAACAAAAAAATATCAAAAAAATTCAAACTGATTCGTCACAGAACATAAAAATCTGAATTATATTGATATATAATCATAAGGATAGTATAAAAAATGTTATAAGAACAATTTATTAAACAAAATCTGTGATCCAAATAAAATCTGTGTTCCAAATAAACTCGATGAAAAATAATTTCTTAAAAACCATGTTTATAAACGTAATAGAGTACGCTAGGCAACGAATCCTAGCACATTTTCGGCATTTAGTTCGTCTTTTCGATTTTTTATCTTTCAACGAAAAAACATCTTAAAAGACTATATATAAAATTTTTTCAATGATTATATTTTTTTCTAATGATATTATTATCGTGACATCATCATTGCTAACACAATCATCATCATCATCTACACATTCATCCAACGCCAACAACAACATCATCAATTAACATCATCATCAATTAACATCATCATCATCATCAATTAACATCATTATCATCAATTAACATCATCATCATCATCAATTAACATCATCATCAATCATTTAACATCATCATCATTATCAATTAACATCATCATCATTATCAATTAACATCATCATTATCAATTAACATCATCATCATTATCAATTAACATCATCATCAATAACATCATCCTTTCAAATGCGTATATTGCACGGCACAGACGAACGAACGAACGTAATAGTTAAGAATGATGCTTACTGATGCTTGTTGACGTGTCGGGTCATCTGGCAGATGATTCACATTTTGCTTGATGGCTCCGTAACATTTGAGAGTAATAACCGACCGGCTTCAAATGCGGGTCGATTCATCTTCAAAATAATAAAAGATTAATGACGTTTGTGGTTTTGACTGGAAATGAATTTGAAGCAATTGAGATAGTTGACGTTGTCTCAGCGTCTGATTGATCTGTGTAGATTGAGAGAGAGAGTTGAATTGACTTTCCTAGTTGAGGAACCGAACAACACCTCTCAACATTGTAATCGCTGCTGACCTCAATCTTGAAAGCAAAACAAACATCCACATCTATCAGATGAACCACCAAACTACTGAACGAAAGTTCTAATAAAATTTATTAATTAATAAATCTCGTTTAAACAATAACTAAACGTCTTGATTGTGCAAAAAAATTTGATAGAAATTGAATTTCAAACAAATATTGAATATTTGTTTTGTAAGTGCCAAAACGACAACAACAACATCAGACGCAATAACAACAACAACAAATACAATAATAATAACAACAACAACAACAAAAACTACAAAATATTAACAACAGCAACAACACACCAACAACAACAACAATAATAATATAATAATAATAATAATACAAATAATAATAATAATACAAATAATAATAACAATAATAATAACTTGAAACAGTTGTACGAGTTGTCTGATGACCCGAAGAGGAAAAATTTCCTGGATGATTTGTTTTCCTTCATGCAAAAAAGAGGTGAGTGAGGTTGATGATGATGACTATGATGAAGATGATGATGGTGATGATGATGATGGTTGTGATGATGGTGGCGATGTTGATGATTTTGATAATCATGATTATGATTCTATGGTGACTACAATTATTATTTGATGCAAAAAATACTAGTCTGATGATGATGACGATGTAGTTTGATGATGACGATGTAGTTTGATGAAGATGATGAAGATAATGATGACGATGATGATGATGACAAGAATAGTAACAAAAGTAATAATAATATTAACAACAAAATACTGATGATACTGACCAGAAATTGTGAATAAAAAATGATGATGATGAAGTGATGAAGATGAGTGAAGTGACTGGAGTTGGGATGTAGATATCGTAGCGATGAATTTATTTATTTTTCTTTTCTTATTCCTAAAAGTTATTTTGATTGATTTACAGTGCGTACACATATGTGGTTCATTTAGGCTTTTTGGCGGCCAGCGTATCTCAAATCATCCTACCTACCTCATGGTCATTATCATCATCCCCACCACCATCATCACCATCATCGTAATTACATCATTATTATTACTATCATCATAATCGTTGTCGTCGTCATCATCATCATCATCACCATCATCATCATCATCACTACCATCACCACCATCATCATCAAATCATCATTATTGGCGTCATCATCATCACAACATCACACATTATTTTGCGATTCTGAATGTATATTTAAATACTAATTTATTACATTTTTATATAGCAATATAATGTATTTGTATAATCCTATATGGCATTTCCTCCTTATCTCGCCACCTTTTGAAGGGTCCAGGTACGTATGTAGGAACGGGGGGCTAGATTAGCCCTCCTTCTCCTAATCATCATCATTTATTTTATTTATTTATTTATCATTCGTCATTATCATCATCATTTTACGTAACATCATCAAATTTTCTTTGCCATCACCATTAAGTGCTTGTGCTTATGTGCGCTGCAGACGAGTTAATTATGTAACACCTACAAATACGTGGAGAAATACCCATGCCACCATTCAACACGCAAAATAACTTTTATAATTTACTGCTAATATATAATGAAGCAGACAACATTAAACAACTTTAGCGTGTAGTTTTATCGAATTTATTTCATTATTTATTTATTAAATATTTCTAAAAATATTTATTTAATAGAACTAAAAAGGAATGAAACATTTTGACGGATCCAATGAAATACAAAAATTGTTTTCTAATAAAATAATAATTCAAGTGCCACGGTTCCAAGTATTATAGCACATTATTATTTAGAGGTTTTAAAGTAACTAGCCTTTTCACGTCGGTGTTTATAATTTCTTCCTCCTACTAAAAACTGAACAAAATCGACATACTAAACTCATTGAAGACATTTTGGTTTGAGATAAAGTTTACCTTGTTTACGAAAGGTATGGCCAGCTGTGGACACAAAAGTCTTTTGATATTTTCCACCCACACCAACAAATAACAACACAATCTTTCCAGAGATGCATTCAATTTCTTCTGAATGCCGCAACCAGGGCGGTCACTGGCGAAAAAAGTACCGATCTATTTTACGCCAGGAAAATAAAGTATTGACCAAAAATAAATAATACTTGAGACGACTTTCAAACCGAACGAAGAACAAAATTCAAAATCATGCTGTTGGTCAGGGATTTTCTTGCTTGTATCTGGCATCTGGGTATCTTGGTGATGGGTTGGTTCTAGTATTCAATTTTCTGTGACAACGTAACCTAAAGTCTGTTGAGGATGGGAACCTCTGGCTGCCAAAAATCAACTTGTCACGTTAAGGCAAACGACGATATTCAGTGCCGTCTGTTCAGTTCTGGAAGGTTTCTCCGGTAGATCTTAAGAGATATGATGGCATTTCGTAAGGCGAGCTAAAGAAACGTTTGAAGCATTTCTATTTTGGCGGTCCATAAAATCGCCTCTGAAGTAACCACACGAGTGGTGCAGCAAAAATTTCTTATCCTCATCCTCACCATCAACATCACCATCATCAGCGTCATCATCACCATCATTATCAACAGCAACAACGACGAAGAAAGGTTACATATACAAAACCCATCGAATACAAATTTATTCATTGGCCCACTATCAATGATAGAAACTAAAAGGAAGATTGGAAGTCGGTTTTCAATGATGCCTTCAGATGTCATAGCAGAAAGGAAAGAAGAGCTGATGTAAATTGCATGAAAGCACTCACAGTGTCATTGTCGTAATCTGCCTACTATTATAAATTAACAAAAATATTTTTTTTAAATAAATAAATTGTTGATTTTTTTCTGCAAACCACAGAACAGAAAATAAAAAAAAATCAACCTTGGTGAAAATAAAAATAAAACTGACAATGAGTGCCGCCGACACAAATTAACAACAGCAATCATACGAACAATAAAAATAAAAACTAAAATGCTATCAACCAAAAGTGAATAATAAAAGTAAAAAATAAGCATGGCGAGCTGAATGGAAGAATAAATGAATGAATGAATAAATGAATGAACGATCGAACGAACGAACGAACGAACGAGCGAACGAACGAACGAATGAATGAACGAACGAACGAACGAATGAATGAATGAATGAATGAATGAATGAATGAATGAATGGATGAATGAATGAACGCATGTATGTCTACTTGTGTTTTCAATTTAACGTGACGAGCGATTAAATTTTCTTTGAAGTCATAAAAATCTTACTGTCGACTTGTTCCTTTCTTACGAACGAGTATCATAAACCGGGTGTGCGTCTGCATTCTACATGAAACCTATCTCTATATATAAATTATCGTTATACATTATACATTATATACACAGATATATGAATAAATACATATTAAACTATAAAATACTGATATATATATATATATATATATGCGTGTGCGTGTGTGTGTTTGTTTTTTTTTAATTTTTTGTGCTATGATGATCAGACATGAAAAAAGGGAGGAAGAACAACTGGTCGGCTTGTGACATTTGTAAAACGTGTGTGTGTGTGTGTGGTTGTGTGTGTGGTTATGTGTATGTCTAAGTATGTGTGTGAATGTGTATGTGGTTGTGTGTTTGTATTGTTGTCTTGATTGTCTTGTGTGGTTGTGCGTGTGGTTATGTGTATGTCTAAGTATGTGTGTGAATGTGTATGTGGTTGTGTGTTTGTATTGTTGTCTTGAACATATGTTCGTTCCTATGTGTTATGTATTGTTTAAATGTGTTGTTTAAATGTGTTGTTTACGCGGCAGGGTAATGTGTTTTGTATAACAATGAATATATATCGGCTTTGAAAAAGACGATCGTTTAAAGTATTAACTGAAAAACATGTGAATGACGATTAATTTTACAGATTGTTATGTTGGTTTAACTTGACAAATATTTCTTTTCAAATCCTCGTCAACAATCGCTTCATTGAAACTAAGCTTTAATACCTAAAACAATTTCGGTTTTCTTGGAACATTCGTATCTTTTCTGATGAACACTTTCTTATTGAATTTGGGATTTTAGTTAGACACAGAATTATCTATGAAACATCATGTGAAGATGCTTGCATCAACATGTTTGTTGCAGATCAGAAAACTAAGGCTAATTCGCGATTCAGTCAATGACATACATGACATAGCAGACTCTGGCACACGCGTTGGTACGCGTTGGCGTTTGCATTACTGCAACAGTTTGTTCTTCAGTATACCGGACCGGACAAGACTATCAAGATACTGCAGTCAATTCAAAATCACGTTGCCAGAGTAGTTGCTGGACGGAAAAAATATAATCATGTTACGCCCATCTCAAAAGAGCTATATTGGTTGTCAGTTGAAAGAAGAATTATTTTCAAAATTTCCACTATGGTCTACAAGTCCTTAAATGGTCTGGCACCAACCTACTTGTCGGATGTGCTGATATAGAAGTTGCCAATTGTGTCTGGCACACATCTGAAATCCGATGATTTAAACTCGCCTGTGATCCAGTATCGAAGTTGAGGACGAAGTTTTACAAAGTTTGGCTGTGTCGGGCGCCACCGTTTGGAACCCGGCCAACACAATATCATTAAGTCTCATTTAGTTTTCAAATCAAATATAGTTGATTGAATAAAATAACTTTTAAATAATTTTCAAACTGAAACAATTTAACTTTCATACAGAGACAATTGTGAGGTTTTTTCGAATTCATTTGCTAATGTGTTCAACGTGTGTCTGTGTGTACGTGAGTGAATTATATGGTTATATGTGTATGTAAGTGTGTGTGTGTGTGTGTCTGTGTGTATACATGTGCGTGCATTTTTAACTTTGATTTCATTCTGTTACTAAAGTTACTAATTGGAAACCGACAGAGAGGAGAAGACGGAGATGAAAACTTGAGTTATTGTTTGTATTTGCATTCACGTGTCCCGCTGCTGAAAAAAACCAACACACCTCTGTTTACAAAATTAAATTAGCATATGTATTGTACTTTAGCAAACACTTAGAGAATGGATGCTAATACAAGTGAGTGTTTGGACATAATTTGATATGTGGACCGTGCAACAAAATGTGAGAAACAATTTGTACTTCATATATTGTTTAGTGTGAGTGTCGCTATTTTTTGCACAAAACTTAACATCATTTGATTGTACGTTTCAATAGCTTGTTCAAAATGTAGTTGTCACTTAAGCTTTTTTTATTATTTTCCTGCTTGATAAGTCTAATTAAAAATTGAATCACCATTTTTCAGAAATATGATAACATCAAATCTCCCTCTTATCCAACCGCTTGCATTCCACCATGTAATCCAAGCATCCAATTTTATACAACAGCATCCAACAATCAAATTTATTTTTTATGTTGCTAAAATTTTTGTTTATTTCTTTGAACTGATAATTTTATGTTAAAAGTGAATTGAACATCATTACAAATTAGATGATGGTGACATATAATAAAATGGATTTGCGCTGCGATTATCTGAGGAACATTTGTTTCATCTAACAAAATATTGAGATGGAAAGATGAGCCGCAAGAAAGAACGTTAATGACAACATAAAGCATCTTAATCGTGACGTATCATTAATAAACAAAATTTATTAACCATTTCAACCTGTCGAGTTTGTCTGCAAATCTTAATAAATGAAACAACATCTTCTTATTATTATACACTTATTTTGCGACAGTCAACATTTTTTCTTAATTTTTTCATCAATTTTTCCTACATCTTTTCAAATTTAGTGTAATACATAACGACACATTCGCAAGTCGCCATCCATTTTATTATTTACGATAAAACGTTATCAGTTGGTTTCTCATTAGTTTGAAATCATCCAAATATAACCTTCGATACTAGGAACGCCAGTGAATCGCATCCCAATCATGGCCAAGCAGACGTTAGACTTGTACGAGTTGTTTCAGTTGGTAGTGTCAAAGGGAGGCCTGGTGGAGGTGATCAACAAAAAGTTGTGGAGGGAGGTGACCAAGGGACTCAATCTTCCTTCCTCCATCACCAGCGCCGCATTCACACTCAGGACTCAGTGAGATTTTGAAATTGTTTTTCATTTTTAAACATTTTTCAAAAATGTTGTTTTTCATCAGATTTTGTTTTTTAAATTTTAATCACTCCACGGTTTTGTTGAAAAATGTATGAACACACAGAAAAAATTTTCTGTTGACAGGTACATGAAGTATTTGTACCCGTACGAATGCGAACGTTTGAAGTTGAGTACGTTGAGCGAACTTCAGTACGCTGTCGATGGAAACAGAAGAGAGGGCAGACGTCCTGACTCTTACGACAACCCACCCAAGATATCGTCCCTGAATGGTGCCAACGTCAATGGCGGTCCTCCCTCTCTTCCCCCTCCTCCTAATCATCCTCCTCCTCATGGATCCATGTTCAATCCTGTTGTGCAAAGGATGGCAGAAAGTTTGGCTGCAGGAAGAAATATTGAACACGGAAAAGGTCAGTCGGTGTATTGGTGGTGTGTTTGCTGGTCTATGAGTCGGTTGGTTTGTTGGTCAATCAGTATGTCAATTTGCTTGTTGGTCAGTCTGTTGGTTGGCTGGTTGGTCTCTCTGTCGATTGGCTGGTTGGTCAGTCTGTCGGTTGGCTGGTTGGTCTGTCTGTCGGTTGGCTGGTTGGTCTGTCTGTCAGTTGGCTGGTTGGTCTGTCTGTCGGTTGGCTCGTTGGTCTGTCTGTTGATTGGCTGGTTGGTCTGTCTGTCCGTTGGTTGGTTGGCTAATCAGTCTGACTGTTGGCTAGTTAGGCGATCAATCTGTCTTTTAACTGTTTCGTCAGTCTGTCGGTTGGCTGGTTGGTAGACTGTCGGTAGGTCAGTTGGTCAGTCAGATTTTCTGCTAGACGATTGGTCGATCGGTTGTGTAGCTTGCCATTTTTTGCTTGCACGGTACGTTGTATTACTGGTTGATTTTTTGGCTGGTCGTTTCGGTTTGATTTCTATTTGCCCCATATGCCTGTGGGGCGTGTTGAAAATAATGTAAAAGATTTGTTATATTTTACAACAACAATAATAATTATGATGAAAACATGGTTGGCATAATTCACGCAACAACAATGCGCAACATCGATGTTAAGACTTTAAACTGTTTCGACAGAAGTATAAAAAGTAACATTGTTATTAATGAAAGTTGAGAAAATGAGATATTCGTTTGTAAAGAAAAAAAAACAACAAATTCAGTTTTTCTTCTTTGTTGCAATTTCAATTATCAAAGCAAATATTTTTTAACATCTTAACTATTCTGTTAGAAGCAACATACCTCTAAATTTTGCTGTGTACCACATGGTGCATCATTTCAAACAACAGCAAAATTAAAAAATTTTATATAAATTTATCCCACATAAATTGTTTCTATGGCACATTAATGAAAAAAACAAAATCATTAAATCATAAACAAAGCAAATAAATAATAAATAAATAAATAATGTATATATAGAAAGAACAGGTGTCAAACAATGATTTACACTTTCAGCTTTTAAATGTCATATTTGTAAACAGAATTCATTCGTTCAGCAGATGCTAATAATCAATTAAAAGTAAAAGACAATGTCATGTGTTGCGTGCAGGTAACGTACAAACATCTCTCTCGCTACTTTACAACGCTCCCATCAAACAAACAAACAAACATGAAACGCAAACATTTGACGCTCATAAAAATAGTAAAAGTATAATAACTTTTATGAATATATCGCTATATCGATGCGAATGTTTAACTGATATAAATACCTACCTATCTGTTTGAGTGTGCCTTAGCGTGCGCTCGTGTATAAAAAAATTATCTGTCTGCTGGTGAAGAATGTATGGGAGAAGACATATGAAAATATGAAAGAACAAAAATGGGATGATGTTGATGGGATTAGTACGGTGGCAAAAAGTCAAATCAACAAAAGGGAATACTAAACATCGTACTTTTTTCAAAGACCATTTGCGGTATAAAATTATAAAGCAAAAAACCCGTGTGTCTGAGCGAGAAGATTTATAAGGAGATGTCAGGCAGATAACAAAGAACATGGGAACTGCATAGTATCCGAATGTATACATTTTTGTATCTATATACGTGTATTTATAATTAAAAAATAGAACTATAATGTTTACATATATATCATTGTTTATGTCTTTGTTTTCAATTTCTATGTTACTGTATGTTTTGCCATGTCTATATTGCTCTATGTTTTGTTATATTGTGTTTATGTTCATGACTGTGTTATTAATGCCAAAATTATTGCTAATATTTCCATAATTAAACCTGTTTTAAAATCAAGCTATTTCTTGGAACTTAAAGTTTCAACAATTTTTTCTACTTTCATATTTTCGTCGGTCATATTTTCATATAGCTAGTTGATCTTTATTTAAATGGAAATATATTTCAAATTGCAATTGTGCACAAATGTTGAAAATAAAAAAAGACGTTTGATTGATTTCAAGGTTAACCAATCCTCTGCTGAACTGTTTGAAATTTTTCGCAAGATATTATAACAAATACATCGGCAAAAAAGCATTCACAAATGAACCGCTGCATACATACGTACTGAGATGCAAAATCTCATCTTTGCGTCATAAACGATGTGCAGTGCATATGTACCGCAAAACAATTTAAATTAACAAGAAAATTAGTAGTATAAAAAATCGAACCTCAAATTAAAAGTGCTGATTCGATGTTTTAAAAATATTAATACTGACTATCAATTGTATTTGTTGACCTTAGGAAGTTTACGTTTAGACTGAAGAAATTTATTTTGAGATAGCGTACATTTATAAAATGTTTTCAAGTTTTCAGTGTTGTTATTTTCTAATGTTGCAATAAATCTTCAAAGAGATCACCGCCTACCAGAGGTGTGTATGTGGCGTGTTTGTCCGTGGAAAGTTGATTTCATAAACTCCGCTATATAAATGACTCACTAATTTATTTCTATTATAATTACATAACTTATTTATATCATAAGTTTTGGCAATAAACAAAATTTCTTTTTTTTTTCTTCTTTAATCTTTTGCAGATTAAAACAAATTAAATTGCCTAAAACCTCAGTTCCGTCGTCTATATAAAATAACATCAAGAAAATAATAATCATATCATATAAAATGTTAGAGTCTTTTCCTTACTAAACATTTTTAGAAGGCATTTTTGAAGGGCCCTGCCATAAAAACCTAATGTTGAATGGCATGGTATAACCTATTTAATATTATGCATTGATATCCAGAGTAGCTTTTGATACATGATGCTTGGTCAGAATTGATGCGACATCAATGATGTGCGGTAGAAGTTGTAATGATTCTCATGAGTCATTATGAACAAGCGGTCATTCTCAGCTAGATATAAATATTTTATCTGCAATGGAATACATTGAAGTTCCTAATTTTATTTAATAAATTAATTATTTAAAATCAAACTAATAAATAGCTAACTAACATTTTTCAACAGAATAACAAAGTTATGAATGGCCATGAACACATACACAACACACATACACATTTTCAGCACACACACACTCACACACACACGCACTCACACATACACATACACACTTAGAGGTATAAACTTGTATAAACGTTTGGTAAGAATTGTGTTAGGGAGTGAAAACAACACAGATACCTACCTACCTTCCAATCATATCATGTAATAACTCTCTTAGGAGAGAGCATCAACATTAGCAGAGATACTGATGATGAGTAGCAACAAACCAAGTGAATGTATTGAATGTATCGAATAATGGGTAAGTATGCTATCTCTATGAACTTATAGTGCGTGTAAAGTGATATAAAATGTATTGTGAAATGGCATATCAGAGTTTTGAAATATTATTTTGTAAGTTAATCCACTGTTATCCTATTGTTATGTCATCAACCATTTGTTGCGTGCCATATGATGTGTGGTTGTTGTTGTGGTTGTTGTTGTTGTGATTGTTGTTGGTGATGATGTGATGTTGATGATGATGTTAATGTCACGATGATAATGTTATAAACTTGTTCATTATTAAAATTGCTGCTCTTCAATCTGTTGTGCAAGTTGCTCTTTACTTAATAAAAAGCAATTACAATTTTTAAAAAAATTAATAACTCAGTAACATGCATTGATCATAAATTCTTTTTAATAACTAAAAAATAACGACAGGTTGCATGTGGTGTTGCTATTGAAGCTGCTGCTTATACTGCTAAATTTTTTTAATAATATTTCCTAAATATAAATAATTGCTGTTTGAATGATTTTTACGCATTGGTGTGTCTCATAAAAATGTGATTGTTGATTGAAGCCTTTTGATGATTTTGTGCGACTGTTTTGATTGCTTTGGACGATGCTGCTGACATAGAGCTAGAACTTATTTTAAAAATATTTCCTCGATTGAAATTGTTGATTTCTGATTTCTGATTATATCCTCAGTCAACTGAAATTTTACAAAATGGTTTCGTTTCTAACGCCAGATTAATTTTTAATTTTTTGGTCGTACAAGTTTTATCATCATTAAAAAAGTATTGTAAAACATTAAACGTTTGCAAACATTTTGAAACAGTTTAAGTCGGTTTGCCGTGGATCTAATTTTTTTTCAATTTGAAGTGTTAAATTGCTGAAGTGAAGAGTTAAAGTCAAATCTTCCGATGTTGTTAAAAATGTTGAATCTTAATTAATGAGTTAATGTTGTTAATGTTATAGTGGTTGGGCCAACCACAAAGAGACGCTGTTACTTTTCGCTCACCGCTGCACATGTTGTAGTACTAAATTTCTAGTTCAGAGTACTTGTGTACTTCATAAGAAAACATTGTAACTTGATAGTGCTACTTACTTTCCAAACTTTTTAAATTGACACAACAACCTATTAACTTCCTTCCAGGTAAATATATTTATTTTTCCGTGGCTTGAATCATGTTGTATTCGTAGTAAGTTTTGGAGTTGTAAAAATTATCATTCTGTTTATTTCAGTCGTTCTTTGCTTGTCATTATCGCTTTAGGGTAAAAGAAGAAAGATAGATAGCCAACCGAATGATGGATGGATGGATGGTGGTAGGGATGGATGGATGAATGGATGGATGGATGGATGGATGGATGGATGGATTGATGGATGGATGGATGGATGGATAGATGGATGGATGGATGGATGGATGGATGGATGGATGGATAATTTTTTAGTGTTCATCATTATCGTCATCATTACCAGCATCAGCAGTAGTATAACCAAATCAAAAACTACACTACAGCGGTCATAAAAAGTTAATTACCTCTTCCAATAATGGAACGCATGCAAGAAAAAAATCAGT